GGAAGGCCTGGCGCAATATGGTTCATGGGGTCACGAAGAGTCGGACACGACTTAACGACTAAACAACAACAACAAGCTGTCTTACACACCCTTACCTTGAGTGTAATTGTATAACCTGGTTTTCAGATTCTGGGCAAAAGCTATCCTGAAGGACAGGAGAAAAAATCCCACTGAACTAGCAAAAATCTTGTGCTTTATAAGAATCTGGAGGGGTTAGAGTTTTGTTTTGTTAATATAGTGACTGTTGTTATTTAAATGATTTAAAACATGACTAACTTTACATTTATATAAAGTGGATGTTACTTCCAAGTAAATACACTCTGGATCCATGCTGTATGCAAGTACACAGATTAAAAAATTTAGCTCTAATTCTTGATTAGTCGTGAACAAATAGCTGCAATTTATATATGTTGCAAATGTAGCAGATTATATATGTAGTCAGTACATGTGCTCAGATGAACATGGAACAGACTGGGGAATGTGAACATCCCATCTGGATGCAGAGGACCCCTCTGTATAGCATTTGCCTTATATTACTTCTGAACTTATTTATAATCCATTTTCTCCTTCTACCCTTCCTTTCATATGCACAATCCTAAACCAATGCTTTGGCCCAATATTGTGTTTTCAGCACTAGTTTTCTAAAATCCAATACTCTTTCTAGTGATTCAGATAAGTCTCCTTTACAACCTACTGAAAGAGGGCTTGGTGGTGAAAGTAATAAGAAATTAGCCTCACAACTAAACCTACATTAGCCTGTTGGGACGCATCAGGAGAAATAGGAAGAGCAGCCAGGCAGGCAGGTCCATGGTTTTAGATGTTCACTTCAAATATACGTTACCCTTTTGTACAAAAAAACCTTCACTATTCAGAAATTAATTATGTTTAGCATTAGCACAGAAGATTTAATGTTACATAGCTGCATGACTGCATCTTTTGTTGAATCAACAATTCTCTTTAGGTTTCAGTAGCTATTTATTATCAGATAGAAACTTCACAAGCTCAAGATAACTTCCTACGACATCCTATGACATCATCTGTTTTAAAGAATTTTTCTTCTGGTCAAAAAGGAAATTTAATTAATGTGCTTCAAGCCTTCTGGCTCTTTGGATGCTTGACTTGCCAGTTTCCATGGATTCCAACTATCACAGACTGTGCAACTGAGAGGCATAATTTGCTTTTCTTGTGAACAATGAAGGTAAATATAAACATTGTGTACAAGCCAAATATCCCCATCCTGTAAATTGTGGTTTCTATCTGATAAGATGCGGTTATTAGGGTATATCAAAACTATGTTCACACCATTTAAATGTTTAGAACTGAGCCATAATGAATTTCTGGTTCACTAGCTCCCTACAAACCTTTTTCAACTTTTATGCAAGAAAAAGAACAAAAGCAAAACAAAGCAGAGTTTGTTATTATGTCTAAACCTGGAGAGCAATGATTTGCTTTAACAACACTCAGTCAAAAAATCAGAAGAGGAAACCATGTTTTGAATTTGCTTTCATTTAAAAAAATCTATTAAGGAAGAAAGGACAGAATCCTTCCACAGTACATTTTGCTTGTTAACATTAGGAACCATCCATCTGAAAGCAACCCTCTTTGTTTAGTACAAAATATGATTCCATGCATTTGGATATAAAATGGAACTTCAGTTTCTTCTAAAGTGAAAATGGGAATATGAACAGAAAAATAGTATACAATATATTGTTGCTTAGTTTATCAGGATCAGGATGAGTGCACTACCCCCATCCAGGTTCCCCACAATCCTCACATGGGCAGACTAAGAAGCAGGTGGCAGAAGACAACCAAGACAATGCCCTATTCCACAGAAATTATAAGCTGAAAGTCTCAGGTATCAGACTAAGATGATGCCCCAGTCACCACCAAAAATCCTCTTTATGCAGAACCAACTCTATGGCTATTCTGAGCAACTTTGTCAGCAAAATGCTCCATAAACTGGCCTTAGCAATCAGGCAGGAGATCACAGAGTTCTTTTCTCTAGCAGGGAGCCATAACCCCAAACAGGGCCACTGGATGCTCCACAGTGTAATAAGGGAGTAGAAGTAAGAGTGCTTCATCTTTTTCCAATGGGCTCCAGGCATCATTTCTAGCACTTCATTTCCAAAGGTTCTTAGTAAACCAAGATCTTGTGACTAAAAATGGGCTACCAGAGAAGCTATTCAGAGGCAATGAAGTCCAGCACCCAGCTCACCTGCTGTTGCCAGGCACTGAATGGAATTGCCCACCGGAAAGCTGGGAAATTCCTTGTGCCCTCTTTGAAAACCAGTCAGGTTCACATTAGGTGACTTGGACAGACATCCAAATCATTACCCCTATGGGGGTAATGAGAAACTATCAATCGCAATTGGACCAGGATGTGATTTGATCATTGTAAGATATAAAAGAAATTTCTTCTATCTGCGATTGCTGAGAGTCAAAAAAAGAAAAAAAGAAATACAAAGTATGACCACCTACATGAGTTGGGCCTACCTGTTCTATGACTATAATAAAGATTTGATTTGAGCTGGTCCAGAGATAACTTGAGGCAAGATAAAAAAAACCTATAACATATAACCCCTGCTATTCAAGGATAAACAATAACTCCACTCACAGAAAAAGCACACTGATAACAAAAGAGCTTATTTACCCACCTGACCCAAAGTCCTTGGGAAACAGCTAAGTCTTCAGAGCCTTGTGAAAGGCTAACAGGCTTAGCTATTTTTCTCCTCTTAAAATGATTGGCAAAGCCATCATTCATAATTCAGTGTTAGGAAGGACACAGACTATGGAAATAGATCAGTTACAAGTACATAGCAGTGGTCTGGGGATCACTAGTGAGCATATGAGGATACATATGGAGAGTCCAAACTAAAAAAAAATGTTAAAGAATTAAACAGGCACAACCTTATAAGATAGATACATTTTGGCAATGATCTTGTAAGTTTTTGACTATTTTAAAAAAGGAAGTTGGATGCCATGGGGCGGGGGGGGGGGGCGTGACATACATGCCATAGTGTTCCAGACACCATTATGTAGATCCCGCTGCTATGGAGGATATATCAGAAGAATAATCAATTTATTCCACTGATTGGAGCACCTTCTTGTATGGGTAGTTACTGTGGGCAAATTAAAACATAATTATTTTTCAGTCTTAAGCCTACTTAAATTCTAAGACCCTTTTAATAAAACATGTGGCCAGGATCTGTAGGTAATGATCTATATGTTGAGAACCTACTGAAAAAGATAAGGAAAGAATTGTGATGTGAATGGATTGGATGGTAAACATTTACAGTATGCTTCTGGAAAATCATTAGTGTTTATAACACGAGTGTATAAATGTCAGGCCCAGCCCAAGAACAACAGTGAAATGGTCCAGTTGAGTAAAGTTCCTTTATTCGCTTACACCTTATAGACAGAATCTTGCCAGACTAAATCTATACTACTGCAACTAGTGGATATACCCTGGGAGATTCTAGGGAGTGGCTATCCTGAACTTCTTTCACTTCCTACACTCCCCCTATGGACTATGTTGCCTTTTGTCTCCTTTCCCTTCCTGGAATGCACCCCCTCCTTCCTGATAGTCTTGATCTCCCACATCACTCTCCTCCTCATAGACACATTCCATCACAATAAATGTAAATAAGTAGAGATTAAGAGACATTAAAGGATTAAGAGAAAGCTTACTGCACAAACCTTGACTGTATTCTTGTGTTGCAACCTGATTTCATAAAAAACAAATTCTTTCCATAATCACCATGATTTGATTTATGAAAAGGTAAAGATACCTGTGAGTTGAGCTCAACTCCTTTTCCTACATAGTAAGAACCAGTCTTTTGTTGTGTTGCTTCTTTTTTTTTTCCTTGACAACCGTACAGAAGTTTTTCTGGGATGCGCCTTATCTGTCAATGTACTCTGCCAATGTATTTTACCATGAGATGTGGAGCTGGCTACCAGTTTGTCTGCCTTCAAAAAAGGGTGGGACCAATTCATGGAAGTTAGGGGGATCAATAGCTATTAGCCTTGATGGCAGTGCGGCTGCTTCTGAAGGCCATCTGCTGGGAAACTAGTGGACTTCCTTATGCAGCTGATTGGACACTATCAGAACAGACTGCTGGACCAGAAGTCTGATCCATCAGGGCACTGTTTATGTTCTTATTCTGGTGAGGCCCTGCTCAACTCTTCTAACTCTGGAAATGGCAATGACTCAGATGTGATTTATTTAGTAGCAGCATGCTGTTCATAGAATTTCCTCTCCTTAGCAATTTGTTTGGCTTCATACATTTACGGTTATATATCAGGCTGCAAATACTCTTCTTTTTTTGTCCTCCTATGTCTTTTGCTATGGAGTTTATGTAGTCTTTCACTTATTGTTCTATTTTTCTGCTCTAGATTTTTAATTTTTATTTAGTGGATGCATGAAAAACTGTGACCCTGTTATGGAAGTACCCATCAGAGGCTAAGGCCCAAGGCCCAAACCCAGTTGGCAAGAAAGCTCTCATCCCCAGAGGTTTCCAGCATAAATTTTAGTTGGAAATAAGTACCCAGAAATAGGGTGGCCAAGTATAGAATTTGGATTCAAATTTTATGTTACTCTAAAAGTCTTGGAGAGGTATAACAAAGTTGTGACCAATATTTTCCTAAATCCAAAACATTCTAAAAGTCTTTTGTAAATACCCCTATCCTTTCCTGCTATTTATGCTATACTCACTGTCAGCACAATATTTAACTGTGGTTAAGATTCAATTTAGAATTGTCCTGATATTGCCCATATAATATTAGCACAAATGCTCCTTTATAAGCAACTGAAGAGTGCTTGGTACTTAAGTTCCTTTCTTCCTGTTCACTCTGACATAAAGTCACATAAAGACAACAAAAAATATTGGAATAGCCTTGCAAGATTTATTTATTAAAAACTTATCACATCTTTTTTCACAAGTGAACTCAAAAGCAGATTACAGTAGAAAAATGTCATACAATGGATAAAAACACTTGTCATTTTAATTATCTTCATCTGTGATTTGGGAATGCTTGTATTATATGATAGTTAACAAAATTATCCTACTATTTCAACCAGTTAGTATTCAATTCCATCTCCTTAAATATAAATGTGCAGAAATGTATACAGCAATATTTCTAAAACTATTTTTGTATGGAAATATTTTTTTCCTGAAAAAGGTAGGCAATTTAAGCAGTTAAAAAAACAGGAAAAAGATGTAAGATTCACTCTTTACTCACATCTTTACCAGCAAGAATCCTACTGTTACTGTAGGGTAGTAAAACTTTCTGTCTATGGGATTTTTTATATTGTGATCCTAGAGCTCTAATCCTGCTATAATCATGGACTCCATGGAATTAATGTTGTCACTGCAAGCTCCTGATCTCTGCAATGGAAACTCCTAAGCCTAAGATACTAGAAATGGTCAAGATGTTTGAGCTGAACTATAACTGACCTCTTGAGTCCACCTGCAGCTATGAATTGGCACTGTCAATTTCAAATAGCTCTGCAGTCCATAGGAATTACTGGACCTATTCTGGCACTGTACCCAATAAGAACTCTCAGAAAGACAAAGCAGTGCTAGGCTCCATGCCAGAAGCTGCCCCTTTAAGGCTTCCTACTTTGCAAGCAAGTGGTGGTGTCTGGGAGGAAGTTCTGCACTTCTCAGAGCAAGTGGACGTTCTGTAACGCTTCAAAACATCCTTTGGCATTCTTTCCCTATGTGCTGTTCAGGCCCAGAACAGTATATTATGTAGATTAAACCCACTCTTTTAGAAAATCTATCCTTTGCACATTATCAAAAGCATTTGTCATGAGGCCAATGAGCAGTTAACTGAGCAAGGATTTAATGACGTACCCAAGTTTTTACATACCTAATCAGCGTGGAAGCGAACAGCCACCACATCCATGTTGCTAAATATATGTGGAAAAAGTGCTTAAACTGGAATTACAGGATCAGGTGTCTGACTTTTAATGATCATGATATTTCTGTTTCAGAATTACCCATTTCACAGTTCTTTTATTTCATTATATTATGAAAGCAAATGATGCCTAGAATTCAGGTAGAGGACCTGTGATGCATATAGGGTGGATGAATCTACACAATGAGAAATGTATTTGCCATGTCGCCATATTCACCACAGCTGAGGTGGGGGGTTTATTGTTTTTTTGCTTTTCAGCTTCACGTATGAGGTACATGCTAGTTAGAATGGAAGCCTGGTTCATTGGCAAGCTAAAGCAGTATGGGGAAAGCAACATTAAGAAATAAAAAAGTGCTTTAACGGTTTGCCCATCAAATCAGTATTACATACATTGAAAAATAGATTATGAGTGTGCACGTGTTGTGTGTGTGCCTCATACAGAAATGGACATGCATTCAACGGTGGAAGGAAGCGTCCTTGTCTGAAGCCAAAACTGAACACAAGGTGCTTCATTTGAATCTTTTCCCCCACACAACTCAGAGTGGCAGTGGAAAGAGAATAGGTTAAGTAACCCTATTCTTAGAGTTCTGCTATCAAAGATCCTTTGGATCAACGCCTGAAGAAGGCAAAGGAAAGATGCATGTGACAGCTGAGAATCAGAGGATTTTACTGAATATGTCGGTTTGTATGGTTTGGGATATTTGGCTAATTTCAAATATCAGCATGACCACCACAAAAAAGTGGAAATGTACTATCGTAATCTTGCTAACGTTGGTTTGCTTCATAGCAATCAGAGTACTGATACTGAACATTATATTACAGATTCGTATTGGTTATGAACTTTATAAAGGACATGTATTTTTAAAACATGACCTTTTCTTTTCTATAATGCTACATTTTGAATTATTCTGTGCTTATGAACGAGCAATTCAATAATGGCAGATCTGTTTGGGTCAAGCACCAGGATGGGAATGCTACAAAACCAAAAAAAAATTGGTCCACAGATGGTCAATGCAGTTCTAAAGCAATAGTAGGTCAGTGAAAGGAAGACATGATTTCTGTACAGGATTCCAGAGGAAGTGCTACCAAAGCCGACAGGAGTCTGCACCTCGATTCATTGTAGTATTTTCTGGACAGTTGAAAGCTTTCCGGAATTCCTCAAAATTACTCATAGCACCAATAACTCTGAAGTGGGGAAAGAAAAGGTAAATATGCAAATTAGTTTAATACCGTGTCACATATTCTTAATGCCTATACTTTTGGTGATTTTGGACTACAAAACATTAATGAAACATATGCTCACTCAAACTAGCACTGCTACAGCGTCATACCATTCAGGTTGACATATAAAATCCTTTAAAAGGCTCACCACCCACTTCCTGGGTTCATCAGGTGACATTATTGGATTGCTGAGACCTAGAGTGTGCTTACTTTGTCCAGTCTTATAGCACAGCCAGAAATTATCAGAGATAGACAGTTTATAAGACAGCCAGGCCTTGTGCCATGAAAGGTTTTATAAGTGGCAAACAGCACCTTCGGCTGCACCTGGAAGCAACTGGCAACAAGTGCAGTTCATGGAGCAATGATGCTGCTGCATCAGGACCAGCTCTAGCTTCTGAGTGTTCCCCAAGATTCTGTTACTATAGCTGTTACAATAATGGTAGTACTAACCTACATGTCACTGGGTTTCTTAGACTGGTCTGCCTTGCAGATCACTTCAATCTTGTAAGCCTGAACATGCTTCCTTCTCTCTTCCTTTATTTTTGCTGAATTAATGAGGGGCTGGTCTGAGATATTTTCTCAAGTTACTTTCTTTGTTCAGACCCAGGCCCCTTTTATCTGACTTTGCCTCGGTAGCATCTCTTCCTTCTGTCTTTCAAGGCCATTCCCTCTTCTCTTTACAATTACATATCAGTCCTGAATGGAGAAGTGCTACCCAATCCTGGACTAAAGGATATTTCCAGGATCTTGGCCTTCTAATCTTCCCTGTTCAGACCCTCACAGACTCCAGATATTGGGACAGGAAATCAATAGCATCACTAAAGTGGTGCAGGTTCAAGATATTCAGTTGGGTATGGTCAGCAGACTGATGATACCAGAACCTAAACCGAATGGATGGCCTCACTCAGCAGCCTCACCTGGATGTAAAACAGAAGGGGGCAAAAACATGGAGCCCTGATGCACACCACAATGAGTGCCTTCTGGCGTGCGGACTCTCTCCCTGCCAACAGTGACTGGAAATGTCTGCAGAGAGAGGAGGAGAACTCCTGCAGCACAATTCTCCCCCTCCTATTCCCTGCAAGCATATTGTAATGTTATTGTTATGCTTATGATCTATCTTTTAACTTCATTCATATTTCGTAAGCCTTCTAGAACTGCTATTATGATTGATGCAACCCATAAGAGAAAGGAAGCAAGGAAGCAAGGAAACACTCCAATTATACAATCTTACTAACAAATGAGTCTTACTAACAAGTTTTCACTGAATTCATTGGAAATTAATTCTGAGGAAAAATGTATAGTAAAAAATATCTTAATCTAATATTATTTAAACAAGGGCACCAAAGAATTTCTAATTACTCTGGAGAAGCCTGTTCCCTCAAATTCACGCCCTTGTTTGTGGAGCAATCGTAACACAAGGAACACCACTCTGCTTATCTATGAGTTGCAAAACGTGGCTGATTCAGTGTTTATTGCATTCTGCATTATTACACCATATTGGACAGCGAGAGGGATGGAAGGCAAAATGGAGAGGATAGCAAGTGCAGTAGTGAGGTTTTTGAATGTAAGCATAAGTCTCATGACAGAAGCAGACTGTTGCTGCATATTCTGGAACGCAGGCAATAAAAATAGGAAATGCAAAAATCCTGCACTCTTCAGTCATAGCCAGTTTGCTGCCTGAAGTGGTTTGTTCCGGATTACTTTATGGGAGAGCCTGGATGCACCTCAATCTGTATTCAGCTTTCATTATTTTTGCCCATGCTCTATTGACTTATAAATATGCAGAGTTGTCTTTGCAAAAATAATAATAACAACAACAGTTACGTTATCCCAAGAAGAAATGCTGGAGCAGCTCAGGTGCCTTCCTGGTAACATTTATATGTCCGTATAACATTATATAACACATATGGGGGGTGCGGTGGGGGAGATCTTCCTTTTTTAGACTGCTTCCGAAGGTAAGCAAGCCTAATCATCTTAAGGACTTCATCCCACTACTTTTTATACATACACTTAATTATCTTATTACCATTTGTCTAAACTGCGATCAGATCAGCAATATGTTCTGGAGACAAGGTGGCCAAGGACAGGATGCAATATTGTTGATGAGGATACACCATTAATTTGTATAATGCCGTTCCAGCTTTTTAGGCATTCTGGTCTCTTGCTTGTTCATTGCCTGCAGCAGCACATTAAACAGGGATCTCGACAGGAGTGCCTGTAATTTTATCCTGATCTTTTATTTGCCTGGATGTTGTTTGCATATGACCATGTATTCATGTGCTTTACATTAGGCTTCACTGTACTTTTAATTTTTGAACCTGTTCCTTCATTAAAAGGGTCAGTTTGATCTAGCACCATTCAAGCTTTTCAACGTTATCTGAATTCCCCAATTTAAAAAACAAACTTGTGTCATAATTGAATTATTGTCCTTCACTGCTTAACTCTTCCTATGGGAGAAACTATATTACTGGAAAATGTTTTTTCTCATTCCAAATGGTTATCCACGCAGGGTTATTTTTAATCCTTTTCTTTCAGAAGATGTATACTTGGGGCAACAATCTTTTAAATACAGATAAAGCTAAAAGGATTCTAGCACCTTCTATGGATGCAATTACATTTCTAAGGATATATTGAAACAGCTCCACAATTAGGGATGAAGGAGGGGACTGTGTGATTTGGGGTTTAATTCTGATATAAACCTGTTGGAGGTTTAATACACTTATTTTCTTTACCTTCTCCTTAAAAAATTGGCAGGAAATTGCACTGCCAATTTCTGTGAAGCTCACGGTTTGTCCCTCTCTTCACTAGGCAGACCACTGGGTAGGAAGAGAGGAAAATACTGGAGGACAGATCTGTGTATGTCCCTTAACCTATCCTATAGTCCCAGAAGTGAAATTAAAATAGAATTAAATAAGGGAGACATTTTAGTTCTCTGATAGTTTTCTCCCCTAAATAACACACACTGTTACATATATGCAAGGAGAGACTGATGATTTCAAAAAAATAATAATTTAAAATACTATTTTATTAATTATTATTATATAATTATATATATTTTATTATTATAATTATATAAGCTGCCTACAATCTCCAAGTGGTACACAAGAAATTAAAAAATAAAATACAGCATTAAAATATAGCAGAACAAATAAAAAGCAGTATAAAAAAATTCACCCCACAGAAATAATAGTTTGGAACAGTCTGGGCAATGAAACTGTACTGTTGGGTCAGAACACTCCTATTGCAGAGCACACCAAGATGCATCAGCTTTTGCTGGATGCCAGGATAGAAATAGGCAAGAATTGCCTTCAATTGTGTATATGTTTGGGTGTGTGTCTTTGCCAAAAAAAAAACAATCCTCCCTACCCACATTTCCAGAGCTGGTCTAAATTTGTTGACATGTGGGGTCATAGTTGGTCCATACCCAAGATTATAATGCTAATTTGGATTCAGAATATTAGAATAAACATTAATAAATTAAAATCCAAACAGCTAAATGCTAGATCATCAGAGAAGAGAAACTACTGCTTGGAAAGAAGAAATTCATCCCCCCATTTTATCTCCCTTCTGCCAATCAGCTTCTTGGGACTAGAAAAACAAATCTCCAGAAATTATGTACTATAATAAAACAGGATAGAAAATAAAATGAAAGGAGAAAAGTATGTAATGTATGAGGTATTTCAGAACAACAGGGTGGTTAAAAGAAATTGTCATGTCTCCCAACTGATTAGAACAGCTGTTTATATTAGACACAGGCAGTGCCCAGGTTAAGAATGCCCAGTTTACGAATGACCCATAGTTAAGAATGGAGCCTATTGTAGCAAAATTTGAGTTAAATACACAATGGTTTGAGTTAATTACACAGTGGTTTGAGTTAATTAAGTTATTATACAATAATACTGTTCTGGCTTACATACAAATTTGATTTAAGGACATACCTTAGGAATGGAACTTGTTCTTAAACTGGGGACTACCTGTACCTGTATGATTTACTCTATTATTGCAACTGAGAAAAAAGGAAGCAACTTAAAATACCTGAACTGAGGGGGACTGTGAACTCCAGTGTAGATTTGTTCTCTTGCAGCTTCTGGTTTAAATGAATTACATCTCACCTAAGATAAATAGTTAGATAATTAGATAAAAGAATGAGTTAAATAATGCTGAACCTCTTTAATGGTCTAGTTTATAACTAATGCCAGAAGTAGTCATCTGTAGCCTACTTGAATCGGAGAGAAATTATGCACAAAGCCATCCGTGCCCAGATTGTGCTATAAAAAGGGAATTTGGGATCCCTGTGAAATTTCTTCCTCTTCAACAACTAGGAAGCCAGGAAGGAATGAACCACCAATTAGGAAGCAGCACTGTAATATACTTTACATCTTTTTTTGTAAGGTATGTCATTGTGGAAAAGAAAATATCTGAAGAGAGCCCTTGTAATTTGTTCCTTTTCCAAGTCTGATTTTTCTTGCTTATATAAGAAAGACAGGAAGGAAGGAAGGAAGGAAGGAAGGAAGGAAGGAAGGAAGGAAGGAAGGA